TTTCAGCAAGATGCAAGGAAACACAATTAATGGAAAATCTTTCATTTATTTTCTATCAAAAGTCAGAGTCTTCGTCCAGAAAACTCATTGCTGACTCCCCCGTGTAGTTCAAAGCAAAAAATTCAACATAGAGATAAAAACGCAGAAGAAGTAGGAATTTGCTTGTTCGTAAGTGTGACGAGAGTTGAAGCTGAGAGAAGAGAGAAATGAGCTACGGTTAAGAGAAGAGAGAAAGGAGTTATGTGAAAAGAAAAAAAAATGACAACCTAGGGTTAAGGATAATCTTGGAAATAATGAAAGTGAGTGAGGGCATGAAGGGAAAAAAGTATTCATTCCAATTGCTTGGGCAATCCGGAATCCAAATACCTTCTTTATGTTGGGAATCCAAATCAGCCAAATCTTGGAATTGGATTCCATTTTTTGTGTGGGCCCCATACACTTTTGATTCCTCCCAATTTTAGTAAACACAAGTATAATCCATAATCGGAATCGGATTCCTTATTCTCATTCCGATTACGGGAAACACGCTATAAGACTTTCGGTGCTATTCTTTTCTTGATAGTTAACAAAAGAAACTGTATGAATTCATGACTTTATTGGATTCATTAGTATTAGGGATGGGCAACAGTTATGACGGGCAAGTAACCGTGGCTATTTACCCATAACCGTTTATATTCATACCCACATAACCGTTTACTCGTTAGGTAATTGCATAAACGGTTATACACATACCCATAACCGTTTATAAACGATTAACCATACTCATAACCGTGTACCCATTTAACCATAATTGTTTAACCATTTAACCAAAACCATTTACCCATTTACCCGTTTTTGAACCAATTTATCCTTATTTTTGTACCCATTTACCTCTTTTCACCCGTCTACATTTTTTTTTTAACAACTTGAAAATTACAAAAGAATAATTTGTCATAATTTTCATTTTCTGACAATTAAACACCGTTATAGGTCCATTTTAGCATGCATTTCCTTACTTTAATCACTTAAGTTCTCATACAATTCCAATAATTGAAATAATAGTTTACGAACGATATTTTTCTGCTACACCCAAGCAAGTCTTTAATTATAATCCATATGATTACAAAGTAAAGCTTCTAAAAACAAAAAGTAGTCATTATCTAAAATACTAGATTATTCAAAGCTCCAAAATATTCCGAAACCAAACACTTACGAACACTAATGCTTTAGCATGTTCAATCACAAAGTCTCATCAACTCGTTGTCACCAAAAGAGGCCTACAAAAGAAATGTATAAATTGAATTAGTATCCCATTTAGGAACACCAACACCAATTAGCATGAATCCAACAGAGGTAAGTGATCACAGAAGGTTTACATTGTACACTCAGTTATCAGGAAAGAAAAAAAGAAGCAAACAAAAGCGGAGTACCAAATCAATTGAGTTAGTATCACCATTCATCAATATGCATAAACAGAAGCCCATATGCATAAATTGAATTAGTATCACCAATAACTCCAAAGTAAAAAACAAAAATAAATGGGTAAATGGATACCGTTATAACCGCGAGTAATACCCATAACCTATGGATACCCGTTATAACCATGGGTAATACCCATAACCACCCATTTAAATTTCACGGATAAACGGTTATACCCATCACCGTTTGTTCGTCTAAACGGTTACCCATAACCGTAACCGTGAACTTTAAATGGGCGGGTAACCGCGGTTATCCAAACCCATGAGTATTTTACCCATCCCTAATTAGTATTGAGGGTCCCCATCTTCCAGCCCATTCTGGATTGCACCATGAGTTTTTCTATCATGCGCCTATCAGTTGTGTGTGTGACCTGCATATGACCAGAATTCATTGCATATAGCAACTCGAACATTATTGTAACTAAATATCAACATCATTTTTTTTTTAGTACATTGATATTTTTACATTAAGGGGAGAGAAGTTCGGCTAAGTCACACAATGGGTAGTCTACTTTGGTATTGAATTCGCTATTCACTAAATTCAAACCTAATACCTCTTTTTTTCTAATGAAGATGAATACCATCAGACCGTAATACTAAGTGACATATCAACATCATATGAACAACGTGATAAGAATTTAGACTATATGTAAATGCCATATTATAACACAACAAAATACGAATTGTAGATTCATATTTATATGGATGATGAATGACAAATATGACCAAATTAAGTTTTTTTTTTTTTATTAATTTTCATTGCAAACAATATTACCATTCAAAGCTATACTATGGAGAAAAATAGGATTTGAACTTGAAACACAATGATTCAAGGAAAAAAATACTAACCACTAGAGCAATCCATCATCTATTCTTTTCCTAACAGCAGCATGCAAATTCATTGTCTTTTTTCTCTTCTTTTCTTTTCTTGAAGGATATATATACACCTTGCAAATCTGTCATGGATGACAAACATCATGTTAATGTTAGGCACTTTTAAGCCCACATAATGATGGAGGCGGAGAAAGAAGTCGTGAAAAGCCCAAGGTAAAGTCATAGCCCAAGAAAGATAAAGAAGCCCAAGGTCCAAGAGGTTCCCGAGCGTTAAAGCTGATCGTCGACTAGCTCAACTTGAGTCATGACTAGGTTGTACAAGGTGCTTTTTGACTGTTAGAGGCACATGTGCAGACTGACAACTTTATGGCACAAGTGTCCAGTAGCAAGTCTACTTAGACCTCAATCAAGTCACATGGCAGCTCGTAGTCAGGAGTAGAGGCCTAGGATGGGACGTAAAGGTAGTCGGGACAATGCTCGGGGAGATGGGGTTTGATAACCAAGGCCGAGCAGGTCTCTCAACACGCCTCGCCTAGAAAAGGCATGCAATCATAGCTTGATAAAAGTCACTTCACCGCCGAATGCCCAGCTAGTAGGTAAAGGGGTGTCAATACGCTAGTCTACATAGGTGGGGCATTAAATGCCAAATGAGACGAACTAAGGGCTTCTAGGTTCATCGAGAGCCTATATAAAGAAGGGGATCGTCTTGTAAAGGGGTCGGAAGAATGAGAAAAGAGAAAGTTCATGTAATTGGATCAACAAAGTGGACGTAAACCAGTTTTGAGGGGTGAACCACTTAAATTTAAGGCCATTTTATTTTGGTCCATATCCAAAGCTCAAAAAGGGTTTATTATTCTAATTTGTTAGCTTGCACATTTAGAGTGTTAACATACCACTACAGTGAAAATAAAAGAAAACCTTTTAGAGAACTATGCATACTCTAGTGTGCCTAAAAGTTTCGTCCTTTTTTTAACAAACAACATTATAACGGGGTAGGGGATTAGGTTAGACTTCAGAATGGGTTAATAATAATGTGGTTCAAATTCGTCTTTGACGAGAATCGAACCTAAGACCTCTCACTTATAAGTGAAAAGGAATACCACTAGATCGTAGTATTTATTTTTAGCAAAAGTTTAAGAACATATATACTTACAAAGAATGAGTATCATTCATATTTAGGTGTTTACTACTGACAGCCAAGTGATTGAAAAAAGTAAGTGGATGTGTGTGTTTTGGGTATGGCATACCTAAAATAAAGGTATCCCATAAATATATAGGGGGTTTATTTATAGAGGTTTATTTATCCCATACCCGTAACCCATTTCTTCTCATTCCTCATTCCTTTCATATCCATCCGTGCTCATCTCCATATCACGTACGGAAAGTAAGCATGCCTGAAGAGTTGTATAGGTTTCTTTTCAATGACCAAAACTTGTAGTGATATCTGCCGTGTATCTTCATCTCCATATAACGTAACGAAAGTAACCAAGCCTGAAGACTTTCTTGTGGTGATATCTTCCGTGTATCTTCTAACATTTGAAATCAAAAATCTAGAAAAAGAATGTGTGGCAGCTGGGGCATAGTGTGCTTAATTTAGTTGAAGAACTCGAACACGAAAGAATGGTTCGTTGCTTGTAGCCTGTGATAATGCAAGTGTGTTTGCATGGCACTTATTACTAAAGGTATAGCACAACTAACTCTTTAACTAACTCTTTAATAGTAAAATAAAGCAGCCAACCTATTTATTACTCAAACAAGTGTGGCAGTTGTCGTGCCTAATCTGCTTGAGGAGAACACCAAAGAATTTGAGAAAATGGTTCATTACTTTTATTTATGGGGGCCTCCAAACGGGCCAAACCTACCTAACCCCCCCAAAAAAAAAAAAACAACCTATTTAATAGTAAATAATTAAACATAGCGAAATTTCACTTGGCCTTCCATTACGAGCTTCAACTCTCCACCTGCAGATTAGGCTCTGCGAAATGGACAGAAAGTATTAAAGGCAACTGGGTCAATGAGAACGAGACTTAAGAATTGCGAGAGATGGGTTACTTGGAGGAATAATTCTGTTATGGTGACTTCGTGTGAAAAATTATCCTTTTACAACTTCGGAGACTTGGACGGCATTAGGGTTGCCCATTTGTGATAAGGAGTCAGTACTCGTGTCATGTTTGTAAACTTTGTATCAATTATGAAGGAAGGAACTAAGGTCATCTCCAATCGAAGGCTGGCCAGAGGGTTTGTTTTAACCCTCTGGCCCTCCAAGAAATTAATATTTTAATGAACAGTACAGGTTCATATTTCTTCATATTTCTTACCATCTCCAACCGAAGGCCAAAGGGTCATATGGCTCGTTTTAGCCCTGTCACAAAAAACCATTTTCAACTGAGGGCCAATGGGCTATAGGGCCAAACATAATTTATTACTTAAAAACTACAACTAAAATTCAAATCCAATGATAAGTGACACAAACAAGTACCTACAATAGGATCTTGTTGCACATCTTTGGGCCAAAAATAGTATGGAGTATGCATTTAAGTTTTATGTTGTTAAATGTTTTTAAAAATGTTGTTTAAGTTTCATGTTATTAAATTGTTTTTATGTTGTTTTATGTTATTTAAAGTTATTTAATGTTGTTTAATATTGTTTAATGTTGTTTCATGTTATTTAATGTTATGTAATGTTTGATGGTTTAGAAGTTATAAGGAAAAAAAAAAGAATTTTTACAAGGTTTAAAACATATTTTGTTAAAAAAAATTTAAAAATTAAAAAAAAACTGTTAAAAAATTAATTAAAAATAATGACTAGCTGACGTCAGCAACTAGCTGTTATAAATTTGAATTAGAGCTCGCCCCGGGGCCAGCTAGCTGGCTGGTTTGGGCCGACCGATTGACCTTATGGCCCTTTTTTGTCCAGTGGAACCCATGAGCCCTTTGGCCTGGCCATCGGTTGGAGATCGTTTTCGGGCTATTTTCGGCCCTCTGGACCCTTCGGTTGGAGATGGCCTAAGTGACTTTCTATATTGATCAAGCAATTATTCAATAAGCATTCACCTTTTGATTTATAAAAAACTCATTATGGGTAGTCATTCGCAAATTTCTCTATCAAGTATTTTTGTAATGATCATGTAGTGCTTTTTTAATTCTTTGTGATGCATCGCTTTATCATTATGCCTGGATTCCTTAGAATTTGAAAGTTCCTCATCCAAATCTATGATGAACTTTGTATCTATCCTATAGACCCATTGAAGTAAGGCCCATAGGCCCATAGTTAAACTTAAAAATCATCACTCGGCGCGCGGTTTTTGTTTCTCTGTAATTCTCATCACCTCCATGCGTGGAAGCAAATGCAAGAGACTGTGGGAGACCATGACCCTAAAGCCTGCCTTGAGGACCCTCACACAGTCCTACACGAAACTAGCTCCCAAGCAATACCACTTTGCCTATCATACCAATCATCTCGGCCGCCCTCACGACATGCCCTTCACTCCGAAAACGGAGGGCTTGGTCTCGGAATCCAGCAATGCACACCAACTGTTCGACAAAACTCCGCAAAGAGACGTTTTAGAATCCAGTCACGTGCTTTTTGAGTACTTTCGGAATGACCGTAACCATGAAGCGCTTAACCTGTTTGTGGGTCTTTGGCGGTCTGGTTTACGGGCTAATGGGTCGATTCTGTCTTCTGTTCTTAAGGTTTGTGGATGTTTATCTGATCAAGTTGTCGGTAAGCTACTTCATTGTCAATGTGTAAAATCTGGGATTGTGGAGGACGTTAGTGTTGGGACCTCACTTGTTGATATGTATATGAAAACTGAAGGTGTTGGTGATGGGAGGAGAGTCTTTGATGAGATGGGGGATAGAAATGTAGTGTCATGGACCTCGTTAGTTGCCGGTTATTCAAGAAATGGATTGAATGACCAGGCATTGGAATTGTTTACGGAGATGCAATTGGAAGGAATTAAGCCTAACCCGTATACATTTGCGACTGTTCTTGGAGTTTTGGCAGATGAAGGTATGGTTGAGAAGGGAAGACAGGTTCATACCATGGTGATAAAGAATGGTTTTGAATCAATTATGTCCGTGTGCAATTCTTTGATTAATATGTATCTAAAATCAGGGATTGTTAGGGATTCTAGAGCTGTTTTTCATTGTATGGAACGTAGGGATGCAGTTACTTGGAATAGTTTGATTGCAGGTTATGTGATGAATGGGTTCGATTTGGAAGCATTTGAAATGTTTAATCAGATGAGGCTTGCGGGCTTTAAGTTCACAGAAGCAATATTTGTTACTGTTATTAAGTTATGTGCTAACTTTAAAGAATTGGTATTTGCTAGACAGCTTCAGTGCCGGGTTGTAAAGACTGGGTTGGCATTTGACCGCAATATTCAAACAGCACTTATGGTAGCATACAGTAAGTGTGGTGAAATGGATGATGCTTATAAAATTTTCTCTATGATGCAAGGTGTTCAAAGTGTGGTAACTTGGACTACATTGATCACTGGGTACTTGCAGAATGGTGGAAAAGAGAGAGCATTGAAGTTATTCTGTGAAATGAGTCGAGAAGGTGTTAGACCAAACGATTTCACTTATTCTGCCATCCTTATGGTCTACCCTTCTTTTTTTATATTCCAAGTACATGCACAAGTCATTAAAACCAATTACGAGAAGTCACCTTCAGTAGGAACTTCACTCATAGATGCTTATGTTAAGATGGGAAATGTTCATGAAGCTGAAAAAGTGTTTCAAATAATTGAAGGGAAGGACATTGTGGCATGGTCAGCAATGCTTTCGGGATATGCTCAGATAGGAGATACCGAGGGAGCTGTTAAAACTTACCTCCAGTTGACAAGGGAGGGGGTCAGACCTAATATGTTTACCTTGTCAAGTGTCATCAATGCTTGTGCTGCGCCTACATCTGCAGTAGAGCACGGCAAACAGTTTCATGCATGCTCAATCAAATTAAGGTTGGATAATACTTTATGCCTAAGTAGTGCTCTTGTCACCATGTATGCAAAGATGGGGAATATTGAGAGTGCAAATGAAGTTTTCAAGAGGCAAGGTGAGCGAGACTTAATTTCATGGAACTCAATTATCTCTGGATATGCTCAACATGGTAACGGGAAGAAGGTTCTTGAAGTATTTGAGGATATGCGAAGACAAAATTTGGAAATGGACGGTATAACATTCATTATTGTGATTTCTGCCTGTACTCATGCAGGCTTAGTAGACGAAGGTGAAAAATACTTCAATATTATGGTCCAAGATTACCATATTGATCCAGCAATGGAGCACTATTCTTGTATGGTTGATCTATACAGCCGAGCAGGAAATCTTGAAAAGGCCATGGATATCATAAATGGAATGCCATTTGATGCAGGTGCAAATGTGTGGCGAGCTCTCTTAGGTGGTTGCCGCAATATAGAGATGGGAAAACTCGCTGCAGAAAAGCTCATTTCACTTCAGCCACATGATTCTGCTGCATATGTTATGCTGTCCAATATCTATGCCGCAGCTGGAAACTGGCAAGAGAGAGCTAAAGTTAGGAAACTCATGGATGAGAGAAAAGTGAAAAAGCAACCCGGGTATAGCTGGATTGAGGTGAATAACAAGACGTACTCATTCTTGGCTGGTGACAATTCACATCCCATGTCAGACCTTATATATTCAAAGCTTGATTACTTAAATAACCGCTTAACTGACATGGGTTATCAGCCGGACACGGATTATGTGCTTCATGATGTTGAAGAGGAACACAAAGCAGCCTTTCTTTCTCAACACAGTGAGAGATTGGCCATTGCTTTTGGATTGATTGCCACACATCCAGGGTTCACCATCCAAATTCTGAAAAATCTTAGAGTTTGTGGTGACTGTCACAATGTTATTAAGTTGATTTCAGTGATTGAAGAGAGAGAAATTATCGTCAGGGATTCAAATCGGTTCCACCACTTTAAGGGTGGTTTATGCTCTTGTGGAGACTATTGGTGAACATCCCACTGGCGAAATGGGTTTAAGTTTTGAGTAGTTTCCCAAGTCATGGAAAATACATTTAAGCAAAGCAGCTGCATGGATCCATCCTTATGCTACATAAATTTTCATCAGGGTAAGAACATATATGGTGCATGAGAGTTTCATTTAAATTAGGAAATGAGCATTTAAGGAACACAACTAGCAAAAGGATGGATCCATGCAGCTGCTAACACCAAAGTTTAATTTACCAAGGTGACGGTTGAGTGCTATATCATTTCATATAGTTCGGATTTCAGGTTAAGAAATCTGAATGGAATTCAGATGGAGGAGATCTCTGCAATGTTACTGGTATCAGAATGTGTGTGTATATTGATGCAAGAAATGGAAGATTGATACTTCAAGGGAGTTCTAATGTAGCTAATCCAGGACTCCATCCAACCTTGTGGGCAGATTTGAAAGCAAGAGTTCCACCGAAAGTAAAAGTTTTGGCTTGGACTGGCTCACTGGAGGTTTAATACATGTGATGTGATCCAGGAGATTGCCTTTTGTGTGTGTTTCACCTCACTGATGCATTTTGTACAACAAAGAGGGGGAAAGGAGTGTGGATCATATGTTTACAACTATGTGGGGGAGATTGTATGGGGTTGACAATGTAAATTGGGTCGTCTCAAGGAGTTCTGTTTCTTTGCTCCCTGAGAAATATAGGTAGGGGTAAGAAAGAAATGGTTTCCTGCAGTGCATGGTGTTAGTAGTAATTCAGATGGAAGGCGGATATTTGAGCAAAGTGAAGGTGTGGAGTGGAGGAACTTTGGGACAAAAATCAAATTTTGGTTGTTACTTTGGGGCTTTGGTTGCTGGAGAGTTCACTGGGGAGATCTCGTTGATGATTACAATTATGATACTTGTAGTGTGTTGTAGTTTTTGTTAAAGCTCGTTTTTCCTTTCTTTTTTCTTTTTTTTTGGTTAATTTGGGGGTTCAACTTTGTTACCTTACCTGTTACTGATGACAGCTCCTTGTCCACTTTTGTTAACAGAAGCTTCTGATTTAATAAAGTTATTTTCTTGTCCAAAAGAAAGGTCATGTTTCTTTTCAGAAGAGAAAAACTTATAGATAACGTGCATTCGTTTGCAATAGTTTATCTTTGCTTGTGGTATTGGTTGGTTAGTCCATCAAGCCAGGAAACTTTCATTGCCACACTCCTCCTCCTGTTTGAGAGGACTGATTCTTGGGTAGGGCTGTCGCATATGCCCACTCTATACAAGACTTTCTCATTCAAGAGGTATGTCACGGTATTGATCAATTTTGGACACTTGTATATAGCCCAACTTTTTATTTGAAGTTCGAACTTTGTTTCCCCAACCTAGGTGGCATTCTCACGTTGGAGTTGATAAATTGAGATACTTTGTTGGTTATCTAGGGAATAATGTTGTACCATCGCACAGCCTCTTCCCCAGCAGTGTATTTCTTTGTGAAAGTGAAAAAAAAAAAAAAAAGAACTCCCTCAATTCAATTAATGAACAGTTTTTCGTCATTCATATCTAAGCTGCACTTGCATAATTATTTCGACAGAAATTTCATGGCCCGGAATGTTATGATAGCCGAGCATACATTGTTAGGTCTTGGATCTTGCATTCTTATTATTGTTGAATTAATCATCAGGTATGAATTTCTTGTGAATGTATCATTAGACGAAACCTTCAATTTTCAAAACTGAAGACGAAAATTCCAATAATCAGTGAGCTTTCTCGCATTATTAAATATGAAGCTAATGAGATGCTTAACATTCGTAGTCTTGCAGTGTTGGCCTTGCAAATTCAGAGTACCAGTTAAGAAAAGAAGGCAAGATTACTGTAAGTTGTGCATGCCTACTGTGGATATATGAAGGTATGTACTCCGTATCCATAATCACAGAAATGCACGTTAGAGGGAGTAACAATTGGAATTTGATATATTACACAAGTACATTTCTCCTCGTAGCGTTGGATGGGACACACTCACAAATTTCAGCTATGACTGGAACTCTTGCTCCTACAATTAAATCACATTGAGACCAATAGGACTCCTGACGTTTTGAATTCCGTTACTCCACGTCAAAGCTCCAAACACAAAGCTTCCATTACTATTCTTGAAGGGAGTGAAATCTACCATGAACGACATCTTTTCCCCAGTCCTTGTAAACTTGAGTTCACATGGTGTAACTGTAACGTTTACCCCTGCTGGGTAATCCACATTTGCAGCAAAGACCGTTGAGCTGCTGCCATAATAAGTAACAGTCCGTTGAACAGAAAGTCTTCCACTCAATTTTGACACACCGATCGAAGGGTAGTTAAAATTGTAGGAGGGGGTAGGAGTCTTCGGGCAGTAAACTAGACTTCCTGTGAGGTTTTTCAGTTGCAATGGGGTAGCCCCTGTGCTGCAGAGAAAATTGATAATGTCATGGGAATCAAAATCATATACTAGTCCAGGATTGATTGCTGCAGCTGGGTTAATGTGTCCAGATCCATAGTCGAAGGGAGTGGTAGGGGTTCCATTTGGATCTCTTCCAATGATGCTTCTGTTGTTATCTATGACAGTTGCTGTGACAACAAAGAAAATCAATACTTAAGTGCCCAGAAATTAAAATTTGTTAGGCTACTTTGACAATGAAAACATATTTTAACTGCGTAACCTGTTGTCATTATTGCAGACTTTATAGCTGCTGGGCTCCAGGAAGGGTGGTATGATTTTAATATTGCTGCAAGTGCAGATACATGTGGGCAAGACATCGAGGTGCCGGAAATTATGTTATAATGGACAGACCTATCAGCAGTGGCAGCAGTTGCCACCGGAGACCATGCTGCTAATACATTCACTCCTGGTCCTGTAATATCTGGCTGCAATAGGAATTTGCACGGTTGATTATTTGTTTGAAGTCAATTGTTCATTTACTTTAACCCATGATATGGCACCGGTGATGCCCTTTTACGCACACTCCAGCATCAGTCTTGAATTTTTTTTTACTATTTTTAAATTATAATGTATCATAGAACTTACCTTGATGATGTCTGGGGTTATGATATTTGGCCCCATGGATGAGAACACTGCCATTTCCGGTGCAGGTTTAGTGTTTAGAACTGTTGTCGTCGAGGAGATTCTAGCAACTGGATTCCTATAATAACAATACTGTAAAATTTCTAATCGAGTTATCTATAAGTTTCAGTTACTTTCTTTTATATATAACTTCTTGTTTCTTCGATCAACAGACTTTTGAGCACAAAGCTTGAAGAACTCACTTTTCAGTCGTCATGTATGCTTGAAGCTCCTGTGCTTCTTCTTGACCAATTAGAGTGCCTGGGATGACAAACTGAAAGCCGACGTCTTTGAGAAATGGATCGACAAGAATCATTCCCACACCACCACCTTCTTTCACAACAACGCTTTTGCTCTTTCGGTTATCAGTGAAGGTCTCAAATGTGCATACCACGATCTTCCCCTTAATTAAGGTAGCATTTAGAGTATTTTCCTTGCAAATGCTGTTAGGAAACAAACAGAACGTATCGAACGGTGAGCAAATAATGACAGTTCATAGGTTTTTCATCTGCCTGAACATCAATAGCAAAGAAATCTCGGGTGCCAATATCGGTATTTAGCATAACTGACTAACAGTACAATTTGAAAAGTTCGAAGATTGAAAAGCATTAGTGGTTCTAAGACTTTAACTTCTCTTGTTAAGTCGTATTATTAGATAAAAGAGGTATAGCTTGTTAGAAAACTAGATGATGCACTAATACTTGTAATATTAGCATCAAATATTTGAAGAGAAAAACTACCTTGCATTCTTTGTTGCGACTCCCGAGGCAGCTGCAGCACTTGCAGCTATCAAACCATATGATCTTTCCATTTTCAGTGGGTTTAATGAGGAACCCTGAAATCACAGAGTTCATATGACCATCAACGTTAAGTGATTTTCGGGTTGTTGTGTGTGTTCACACACCCTTTGCGTCGTTAAAAGGTTAGTAGAATCCGGATGCTAAGTTTACCTTTAAAATTCTTGAGTTTCCCAGATATACGTTTGAATGAAATTCTCTATCCAATGTGCTTGCAGCAACTGTGAGAATCCAGGGAGCAACATTGCATGCAGTACTTGGAAAACCAGAGTTTCCGGCTGATGCAGAAACAAGTACTCCTTTCTGGAATGCATGGAAAGCCCCAATGGAGAGTGCGTTTTCAAAATAAGTTGGCTGCGGAGGATCAGGGCCGAGGGAAAGGGAGAGAATATCGACACCATCATAAATTGCATCATCCATAGCAGCAAGAACATCTGCATCACTACAGAAGCCAAACCAACAAGCCTTGTAGATAGCGAGTCTGGTGCTAGGTGCACCGCCTCTGGCAGTGCCTCTGGCCATCCCAAAGAAGCTGGCATTAGGTACCTTAGATCCAGCTATTGTTGAGGCAGTGTGAGTGCCATGGCCATCACTATCTCGAGCTGATCGGAAGAATGGAAGAGGTGCATTGGACTCAAGAGGCCCAGTCTCTGCTTCGAATCCTTCAAAATAGAAGCGGGAGCCTATGATTTTCCTGCAAACAGAATACCAATTTAGAAAGTTGGACTTGTGGAACTGGAATTCTTTAGCGGCGAAGGCATTTCGGTTACCTGTTGCAGTTGGCAGATGTAAAGTTCTGACCGGTAACACACTCTCCCTTGAATTTCTCTGGCACAGGCCCTAATCCTGCATCACTGAAGCTCTCTGACTCCGGCCAAACTCCTGTGAAACAAAAGTAATGAACTGATCACAAAACAGTACAAGCCGAAGAGCCAGATACGAAATGAGAAACTGAAGCCGTACCAGAGTCAATCACACCAACAATAACATTGGATTTTGAATCCATTGGCATTTGGTTGTACTGGGGAATGGAGTCTATGCCTAGAAAATCCCAGGAATGTGTCGTGCGCAGTCGGTTTATTCTGCTCTCAAACACAGAGATAACCGCATCGTTTTCTGTAGTACATGAACAGAAATCAATCTAACGAAGTTCTTGCATATAATCAAGTACCGTTATTTTATTTACTAATTTCTCAGATTAATATTCTTTCAATTGTTCTTGATATATTGAGTTTCGAGAAGACGGAATGCTACCTGAAAGCTGTTGAGCTTGCTGTGGTGTAAGCCTGGCTGAGAAGCCCTGGAAACTTTTACTGTAATGGTGAAGTGTTGCTTCTTGTGCTCCATCAGCGCTGAGAATTATCCGAAAAATATACAAATCAATCTTACTGTACAATCTGCATTGGCATTTTATGAAACTGAGAAATTGAATTCAGTTAACATCGTACCTTCCCGTGACTGAAGCAAGAATCTCATGGTTGGCTCTGACAACGGACTCGGAGTTCGGGTGCGAATGATGCCCCATGTAAACTATATAATGCTGCAACATGAGAAGGAAAAAGACATTCAAAATGCAGATCCTACGTGTGAAAAATGATTGCCTCGTTACTACTTTTGTTTTTTCGGTTACATCGGAGGGAACTGAACTCTAAACCTATTCTAGTCCTAACTCATTACTCCAAATCTCCGATGCCACTTGAGCTAACGCCAAGGGCTTTTGGGCACGTAAAGTTTTCGTGAACACTTGAGTGCGTACACTATAAAATAAACCCAACGCCTTAAGTTTGAAATTCGCTACCTTTTTGTTAGCAGTGGCTCCATGGCCCAAAGAAATGAACAGGACAAGAGTGAGAAGAGTAGTTAGTTTCATGATGTAAGAAGAGAGCATGATGGTAAAATGTTGGAAGCCACGAAACTTTGGTGATTTGTTGAAGGTTGCAAGTTCATTATATAGTCCGGAAGAAGGTGTGAATTGGCCATGCCGACTTTTCATGGAATTTCAATAAAGTTCGCACATAAACGTTCCAAATTATATATATAATTAGAGCCGGCTTTTGTTGGTGTGCTGGAGAAATGTTCAAACATGACCAGAAGAACCATGGTTGGACAATAGTGAGAGGTATAATAAGAAAGTTTTATTACAAATTCAGATGCTTCTTCAAACGCTTTTTGAACAAGCATATGGGAGGTGCTTTTACAAAAACACACTTTTATAACCCACAAACACTTGTAGCGTTTTTGTTTTTTGGATAAACTTGAAGTCGTTTTTACTAAACGCAGTTAAACACTTCTAATTGTTAAAAAAGTAGCTTTCAAAACACACTTCTACAACCCATAAGCACTTTTTCCAAAAGCCAATCACATAAACTTTTAATTGTCAAAAAGTAGCTTATCCAAAAAAATACCTGTATAATCCATAAGTCCTTCAACATTTTTTACCCAAATACAATCAAATACGCTTTTAAATTGTTAGAAAGCGCGTTTAGGCCTTACAAGCACAGTCTCAAACGTGCCAGAATTTTAAGTCCTGGTAGTGGACGTACACTATAGTTTCATGTAAAACATACAAAGGATCAAACATTTCCAAATGTAGCTTCCTCACAATACACACATTAGACTCCAAGACTATTTCAACCAAATATAAAGACACAAGTATAGTATTTTCTAATTAGGATTAAATACTTCACCAAATTCAAAATTGCTGAAGTAAAAAATCATTGCAATTTTCAAAATTTGTCCAAGTTAGAAGTAGAACATGGAACAGTTATACAATGTTAGATCATCTCTAAGGGAGGTAGCAATTAGATATTAAAGTTAGATTTGTTATGCCACGTACAAAAAACGCATCCCGAACAAAGGTAGCTGTTAGATAGCAAAGTTAGATTTGTTATGCCACGTAGGAAAAACGCATCTCCAACATAGGTAGCAACTCAATTAGCAAATTGAAGAACTATCAACTAACCTTGTAAATATACAAGGTCAGTTGCTACTTCTTCAAGTTAGCAAATTAGGTCCCGCAATATATTTTATTCGTAAATTTGAAGAGTTGATTGAATAGTGAGTTGGAGTGACAAATTTTTTAAGTTACATTAACTAAAAAAAGTGTCAAATGAGTTAGCAAATGACACTTTTAAAGAATATTTTTGCTAATTCCTTTGGAGATGCTCTTAAAATGGGATAATTTTCCTTCCTTTTAATGAATTTTTGCGAGGGATAAATCTCCATCATGATAATCCATCTCCCACCTTCATCTTGACAAAATTTGACTTGTATCTGGTATCCAATCCAATCCTAAGCACCATAACCAACTTCCCACATGTTCAAACATAAAGAAATAGTGGAAAAAAGATATCCTAATGAAATAAATCGAACAGTAAGAGAGAGTGGCAAGGACTTCACATTGTGAGGACTTGGAAAAAGGGAAAAGGATGTTGGGGGAAATGAAAACTTAAAAAATTGAGGGTGGTGAAGGGTTGAATTGAATCCCAGGTCATGGAACTCGGCCGGACTCTTGGAAATCGGCCGGACTCTGGATCCAATTCCTCCGAAGGCGCCCCGGCTCCTGAAACAGACATACCATTACAAGCACACGAGATTAACCAAGAAACCGGGGGATCAGAGGAATGCCGGTGAAGCAACTAACTCGACTTCAACTTAAACCGATGCCCCAAGCTTTCAAGTTAAAGCATTCACAAGATACTAAAAACATGTCTAGTTGACAGGAACGAACTCATTACAATGACAACCGCTCACTAGATATAATATGACAGGAAACAGTAATTGTCCGACGATACCTGAAAGACGCGAAACACCTGGAAACATACGAGAAAATTAGTTTTCAAAATTGAAAAAATTAACAGAAATGACCAACGGGGCAACGAAAATTATTGATGTATCAACATTCTGAAGCAATACTTTTTCAACTGTCCTTTACACAATTTGAAAACAAGCGATTCAAGATGTAAAACACCAGCGGTTTCCATCTCGATACAGAAAAGGGAAGTCAAGTCACCTTCCTCATTGAAGAAACTCATTCAGAGTATGTAATTCATTACATCCAGCACTTTGTAAAATAAAATACAAATCATGGCGACTGACGACAAGTGTGGATTAATGTGATATATAAGTGCAGAGAATTCATCACCCTTCCTCTCCGAACTCTCTTGTGAATCTCTCATGGACTTCAAGGTCACTTTTGCTCACTGTAGGCCTCTGTCTAGCAAGAACCTTATCGAAATCTGTTTTTGTGATAGGAGGTGGAAGGATCTGCAAGGCATTTAATAAGCAACAAGAATTACGTTGGAGAGCTTTCAACGCTGAACATAATTTTTAAAAGGAAAAACTTCAAAATTGTTCATCAGACCATTAATGGAATTCCTTTCTCATTTGAATGCATGATACATAAATTAGCAATTTCTTAAAACAACGAAAATTTAGCAGTCATTTTATGGATGCTTCCATTCCAAGTGAAATGTACCTCTTGAATCGATAATAGTAAAAAATATTAAATAAAAAATATATATAAATAGAAAAACACTTCAAGAACTAAATTAATCATTCATTTGTTATTCTTCGTTGCAAAATTCTTATGCAAAGTAAGAAGGGCGTTTTTCTAAGGTATTGTGTTTAAAGTGTTCGTCTAATGTGTAAGCTTAGCAGCTTATGAAAGGCTTGTAGATGAAAAACCCAATAAAAAATTACTCGTTACTTCCTAATCTGGCATGTACAATAGCCCTGACATGTAATGTCCAGAAGCCGACAAGTCAGCAAATACAAAAATATTGTGCCAAAACAGGTATGCAAGTTTATCAACTCCAGCATTCAAACATGTACAAATACCTGTGAAGCGAGTCCTTTTGCCGCCAGATCCTGCATGGTGATTTGGACAGCACCTGGTTGCTTTGGTCCACATGGTATCCACATATCCTTAGGATCCTTGAAAAAGAACATGGCATCTTGCGTTTTACGAACAGGTTCAAAGAGAACGTCTTTAACCTGCCAGTTTTAAAAAGAACAAACCAAACAAAACAGGCGATGTTGTGAGCTATTCTCATTTAACCCTTTAATGCAAGGAACCCTAATAAAAAGGTAGGTAATGCAAAGACAGAGATGCACACAGAAATATGAATGACTTGTGCTTACACAAACAGCAATATCAGAACCAGAAAAGCCATCAGTTTTGCGAGCTAAGCTTTCAAAATCACTTTCTGTTAAGTTGTGAGGAGTATCTCCTAGATGCACCTGTTCAGAACATCCACGCACACAAAAAAAGGAGAGCACAAAAGATTAGTAAATGTATAAGAACCATTTCAATTATTGCAACCAATAATTTTTTTTTTTACTGCCCCTGTTTAAGCAAAAGAAAATGGATACAAAACTAAAGGAAAATGTCCAGTACTTTGAACATATGCTGTCGAGCCTTTAAATCTGGGAGGGGGATGTATATACGCTTGTCGAAACGTCGCCGAATAGCCTGTAATTTCTACCAGTTAGCCACCTTCATATAATGCCTCCATTAATTAGGGAAGAAACCATAAAAGAAAAAATTCACATATATCTCCATACCTGATCTAGTGCATATGGAGTATTTGTTGCTGCGAGAACAAGAACTTTCTGATCATTGTGTCCCACACCCTAATATACATCACAGATAAGATCAACTGACAACATGAATGACTTCAAACCAAAAATAAATAAAAGTAAAAAAGAGACTCCGAATAGCAAATACTAGTAGGAATAATTATACAAAACTAGAAGTTTAAGGACCTAAAAAGAATAATGAAGGCACCTTAAGAATTTACTCCACTAATTCCCACAAAACAAACTCATACCTGCATCTGCACAAGAAGTTCCGTCTTAATTCGTCTAGACGCTTCACTCTCATTGCCTTCTCCACGAGTCCCACATAAGGAATCTATCTCATCGATGAATATAATGGATGGTGCACTATCACGAGCCATTTGGAAAAGGTTTGAAACTAGCTTTTCACTCTCACCCATCCACTTTGAAACAAGGTCTGAAGATGAAATACTAGCAAAAGAAACGGGACATTAAAGATAAAAAACTAGACCTTTTGAAACTTTCTGGCCTAAGATCATAAAAAATAATAAAATTAAATAAATAAAATTACAAATGATCAGGAAGAGACGTCTAGAAATAAAATGAAACTAAGGAAAGCATAAGCACATGCACAATATATCTAGTAAAGTATACTAAGAGGATTTGTTGTATAAAGTGGTAAAAGTTTTTCTTTACTCAACTATAAACACCGGGGGTAATTAAGTTAAACACAGGTCTCAAAATAAATGCATTGGGAGAAGACTTCAAAGCTGCTCAGGTAGACAATGAGACCTTGGTGGGTTTGCCGTCACATTTTACAAGGTCATCATTTTAATCAAAATATAATCTCTTTTCCTATTAGCTCGGGTTAAATTTCTTGCTTATAAACAGCAAGAAGATGTGAGGGTACTCATTGTACCATCTCCCCCTGTGAGCCAACTCAACTTTGTATGATCACATACTTTCTATTAGAGAGCATCAACCAACTTTCAATTAGTTAAAATAAGT